CTGGAATATTTTTTTTGGAAAATCTTTAATTCTTTTATTTTATTTCTTTGCTTGTAGAACGATTCTTTATTTTTTATAATTCCCGATATATCGGATTTAACTTAGAATTAAAAGCAGACTATTCCATAACCCTAATATTAAAAATCAATACGAATTTCGATGATTGGCATGGAGTAATTTCTTCTGAAAGATTAATTCTTTATATGCAAATCACGCTCGAATGATTTAGAAGTTTTTCCTATAATACTTGCGAATATCTTAATCAATATTAATTCTATTGATTGTACACATATTTCCTTAGCATATACCTGGCCATATAACATCACAACAGACTTTTTAAGACAATTTGAATTGATGACTTCGTTTTTCTTTCCTGTACCAAAGATTTTACGTTTAAATATTTCAAAACAGATATTGATTTATTGATTAAAATAACGTGACTATATAAAAAATAGAGAAGCTGAAATATCATCCGAATCTATGTGAATCAGGTATAAGCTTGCTTGTGAATAAGATAATTTTTGTATACATATAATTTATATTTTACTCTAATGCTTAGCAAAGGGATTATTATATGTATATATTAGTAGTTGGAAATGATTGTATGAAATCGTTTTTTATAGTGAAAATAAATGTTTTAAGCTTTTAATATATCTTCTTATAAAAATCATAGTATAAAAACAAATGTTTATTAGCTTATGTTATAGCAAGAAATTAAAAGAGCGCGATTTTCTAGTTTAAAAAAAAGAAGCAAGGTATAGTTGGTAAGAAAAGTAAAACAATTATGAAATTATTTTACAAATCATTTTCACCTCACACCAAACCCATTTTCGCTTGAAAATAATTAATGCGAATAAAAGTGCGCTATCTTAATTGTTGACAAGACGTAACCTTATAGTTTACTTACCAGAATAAATGAGATATGAAGCCTTAATTATTGTTTCATAATCCCATTTTAATTTCTATTTTGACAAAAAATTCAAAAACATAAATCTATTTAAACTCGGAACTGCTTTATTTTTTAAATTTCAGACCCCCAAATTGCAGGCAGAGCTCAATTGCCCGAATATAAAAAATTTTATGCGTGCTGAGCACACTTTTGCTATTCCTTAATCATGCCACACAAATTAATTACTAATCATATAAAATTTTACTTAAAAAAATAAAATGGTAGGATCGGATTTCGAAGACACTTCAAGAGGAAAAACCTTAAAGTTTGATAATCTATTGATGAAAGATTTTTTAAATATACATTTACACATTTATTTTACTTATAATAAAAAAAATTAATTACATGATATAGAACTTGTCAAAAACGAAGTTAGCACCCGTTTTTAAATCGAATTAGATTTGTATTAGTGTTTGACATAATGGATAATAAATGTATAAGTAAAAAATTATTACCCAATAAAATACAGATGTTGTCTGAGTGGCTATTTCATTAAAATAGTCATTTATACAGGTGACAATTATTAAAAGTGTTATCACTTTAGTGAGCGTTAATAAAATCTGTTGTATATCAGATTTTATTACCTTCATTATTTATAGGGCTGTAATCGTGGAAGGCATAAAAAAAATTAGTGTCATCCCCTTTCCAAAAAATTTTATTTTATTTTATCGTATTTTAGCATATTTTAATATTTTTTTATCATGAAATAATCATTATAAAATATTTTATAAATAAAATTTATATATTAATGTAAATAATCATAGAAGATTTTTTTAAAATATAAATAAACGAATGAATAATATATGTTTCATGACAATATGTATAAAATAGTTTTTTAAATTAAATGTCCTTAAAAAAATAGGTTACATTTAAATAAATCTATGTTTCTGGAATCATAACAGTAATATATTTATAATTCCAAAAACTAACCTTTTCCTATTTCAATTGGTTCTTAAAAACAGAGAAAGTTGTATTAACACAATTCCGTGTAATATTGCTGAATGTAAGCGCGACCTTCAACTTATGAATGCCATTATGACAGATTTGGGTGCAAGTCTTATTATAAAATATATTTTCAGTTTAATGAACGTTAATGGACAATAGCGTCACTAGGGGGGAGACGCAGGGGCTCGAGCTCTGTGAAAAAGTTGAAGAGCCGCCTCAAAATTTTTTGAATTTTTTATAACACTAAGAAAAGGTATTTCAGGATATAGTTATCTAAAAAAAAGAAGGTAATTTTGGATAATGTTAACTAAAATAAAAGGTAATTTTGAAAATAAATTTAAAAAAATTTCTTGAGCTCCAGATTGTAATGGTGTTAGTGACGCCCCTGTTAACGGGCCTGTCATTGGAATTCTTCCCTATGTATTAAAAAGTGGCGGACAAGTCACAGGTCTGCTAGCAAAATCAAGGAAAACGTACCGTTAAGATTATTTAAAATATCAAAAGATTCGTTATTGCGAATATTGTAGTTATCCTTTCATTTAATCATCATTTTATTTAATGCAATATACCAGGGATGTGAACCCTTCGACAAAAAAAAGGGTCCGGGTCCGGGTTCAGAGGGAACATAAAAATAATGACTCAAAATAAGACTTTTTTTCATTCATTATTTATTATACTTCAATATATACACATTTATAATTCGAAATGAGATAATTTATATTTTAAATATTTTATTCAATCGCACAATCATGATATCTTCTAAAATATAATCCTTCAGATTTCTATGTAAATTAGACAAAATATATTTCAACGATGAAAATCCACGTTCTACGCTTACCTAAAATAGATAGTCATTTTTATAATACATAAATTTTTGTACTTGTGTGGCCGGTACAGCCATGATGATTCTAGACAAGGTATATAATTCTGGATATATTAAAGAATTTTCCTCCCAGAATTTTATATTGTTTGCATCTCTATTTATTCTCTTAACTTCCGAGAACTTTTCTATTAAAGATACAATAGATATTTTTTGCTCCTTTCTATCAGATGATTATATAAATTTTTTTTCTCTATCTAATAGTAAAATTTCCAGATCATCAATATCATTATCATTATCATTGTTATCGCTACAACCAGTAGATATTGTTGTAGCCTCCAATATATTGTAAATAATAGAGTTTTGGGTAAATCTTCAAGATCGTCTATAGCCATTTGTTTTTGCTCACTACTTAATAAAACCTGATATCGCGGGTCTAAATATATCGAAGCACATACAACACTATTTTGTAAATATTGTTGCTCTCTTATTTTCATATTTTCTAATACTTCATTTGAAAAAGAACTTGTTAATCTCCCTAACTCTAATCGACATCTTAACCATATGCCATAAAAATCCAATAAACATAATTGTTCTGCTTGAATCTTAATGTTGTTATTTTTAAAGGAACCAGCACACTAGTAAGCTCTTTTACTTGATTCCAATCATCTTCTGACAAAATGATTTTACATGCTCCTAAAAATCGAAATCTTTCAAACTTAATAATCGCTCTAGCATCATACATATAGAGGACCAACGTGTTGTGCAATCTAAAATTGCCATTTGCCTTTTCATGGATTTTAATATTCTAACAATTGTGGGAGTTCTTAAATATTTTACAACATCCCTTGCTTTATCAATTATAGTTTTAAAGTGACTATTTTTTAGGGAATCATTAATAGCCTATTGTAGCGTATGGGCTGCACATTTGATACAGTATATTTTTGTGGAGAAATATTTTGTTATTTGCAAATCAATTTCACTTATTTTCTCATAATTATCATCATCATCATCTATATCATCAATTTCTTCCAGTGAACATTCATTTAATAATTTGATTGATTTTACTAGATTGGCACCATTATAAACGTTTCTTATAGGAATATGAAATTTATTTAATGTTTCTAATATCATTCTTTTTATATTTTCAGAAGTTGAACTCTCTTTAATCTCCTTCATAGCTAAATTTCTTAATATTATATTATTTCCTTTTATATACTGTATATTTATTCCTAGAATATTTCTCCCTAATCTTTAGGCGGAATCAATTTTTAATGAAATTAATTTGTTTTTTGTTTCTTTTATTATTTTTGCTTGTATTTTTTTCGATTCATTAACCACTAAGTCCTTAATTTTAAAACGGTTAATTGATGTTCCAATTGCCTTACTAATAGGATCAATAATTTTTTTTAAACCAGAATCCTCAATAATATTGAAAGGCCTTCCATTTATTGTAACAAGCTCAACTAAAGCATTCATCAAATTCTCCTCAGACATTTGAATATGAATGCTTTTTTTAAAGCAAAATTTTCATTATTTTCATCCTTCTTTACAATACTGACAGTAGACTTTGTAACAATGTCTTCTTCCAAAAATTTGGTTTTTCTATTTAAATATTCCTCAAAGATTATAGAATGATGTCTTTTTAAATGTCTTTCCAGGTTAGTATTGTGTAAACCTTTTAACATTAGGTGGCAGGTTTTGCACTCAGAATCCCCTTTAGTTGCATTGTACTCTAACAAAGTATCTTTTAATTTCATACTAAAAAAAACAAAATTTAATTTGTTTAAAACTTAAAAGTATAGACAAAGGTTAAGAATGCACAGGAACCTCTGGTGCAAAAATGACTTAAAAATTGGATATTCTGTAGAAAATAGGAAAATTTGGGAGGAAATAGGAAAAACAAAACTTGAATTATGATCAAGTGATAAAGAAAATTTTAGCTGTAAAGGCTAAATTTATTAAATTATAATTTGGTAAAAATAAAAAATTATAATTTAATTTAAAAGGTGTTGAAAAATTATATAATTTCTATCACAATTTTATTTATAGTAATTTTTTATATATATTTTATGGAAAAATTATCTTTCAAAATAGATTATATTATTGGTTTTCCAAATATTTATTAAATATTGATATAATTATTTACAACATAATATTTATTAAATATATAAATAAAATCTAAACATAACTATTATCAATTATCAAATAGGTTCATACAAAATTAAATAACTGAAAGGTAACATAAAATAATAAATACAATTAAATATTTACATATCTTTATCAAGCATTTTGAATATTTTAATTTTTTTAAAACTTAAATGTGTCCAAAGTGTTTTGTTATTAATTTGTGAAAATTTTAAGGATTTTTTCAAAACTTGGAAGCAGCCTAAATAAAATAGCTAATTTTTTTGATATGATAATTTGAATATATTTGATAACTTATAATAAAATTATATATTTGGAAAACACTGCCAATTTTGATTAATTTAAATTTACTGCTCAAAAAACATAACCTTAATATTTTAACACTGCAAAATAATCACTTAATAAAATTTTTATTAAAGATATTAATAAATTAGCCTTTAAAATTAAAATATTATTACTTGCAGTACAAAATAATTCCAAATATTTCACTTTCAAATCAAAATAGTCAAAGTATTTCTAATAAGTGCAAATAAATTTACATAATAAAATATTATTACTTACACTATAAAATAATGTATGGTATCAATATCTAAATAAAATGAAATGAAGTCCAGGAAGAAAAACGAAAGAAAAACGCGAAGATAAAATAAATGATTCCACGAAAAAAATTATAAAAATTTATATTATTTTTTAAAAATTATATTTTTACACTAATTTAAAAAAAAACAAATTTTAAGTTAAAAATTTTTAACACTCTGAACTAGTGTTGCGTAATCGGCTAATTTAAGCCGACTAAAAACGGCTTAGCCGAGATTTTAGGTGGAAAAATCGGCTAAGCCTAATTAGGTATAGCCTAAAAATCGGCTAAGCCCAAAAATTGGCTAAGCCTAAAAATGGGCTAAGCCTAAAAATTAGCTAAGCCTAAAAATTGGCTAAGCCTAAAAATGGGCTAAGCCTGAAAATTGGCTAAAATAAATTAGTCAAAATTCTGCATCGATGCTTAGCATTATTTATTATTTATTTATTTTAGTAAAATAATATTTTTTATTTATATTTAATGTAAATATTTTATTATTATCAACAAATAAACATGATATGATTTAATATTTTTTATTTATATTATTATATTTTGAAATGAAAATAAATTTATAATTTATTAGTGATTTTCACAATCTTCTTTGTAAATACATCTTTTATTGAGGAATTATATTGTAAATTTTATTAGATAAATAAACAATCTTTTAGGTGAAATCTTTTATCATTTTTTTAAAATTATCTATTTATTATTAAATGAGGTGGATTTTATGAAACTTTTTTGATGTTATTTTATGATCTTTTTAAGGATAATATTTTAATGTGACAATTGTCATAATCGTTCTTTTATAAGTTTTTTGAATTTTTTTGAAGAAAGTATGTTAAAATAAGTATTAATAACATGTGTAAATACAAATTTAGTGAAGATGTACTAATGAAAAGTGACAATTGTCATAATCGTTATTTTTAAAGTTTTTCGATTTTTTTTGACGAAAATATGTTAAAATAAGAATTAATAACATGTGTAAATATAAATTTAGTGAAGATGTACCAATGAAAAGTGACATTTGTCATCGTTATTTTATAAGTTTTTTGAATTTTTTTGACGAAAATTTGTTAAAATAAGTATTAATAACATGTGTAAATATAAATTTAGTGAAGATGTACCATAGAAAAGTGACAATTGTCATAATCGTTATTTTTAAAGTTTTTTGAATTTTTTTGACGAAAATATGTTAAAATAAGTATTAATAACATGTGTAAATATAAATTTAGTGAAGATGTACCAATGAAAAGTGACAATTGTTATAATCGCTATTTTTAAAGTTTTTTGAAATTTTTTGACGAAAATATGTTAAAATAAGAATTAATAACATGTGTAAATATAAATTTAGTGAAGATGCACCAATGAAAAGTGACAATTGTCATAATGGTTAATTTTAAAGTTTTTTGAATTTTTTTGACGAAAATTTGTTAAAATAAGTATTAATAACATGTGTAAATATAAATTTAGAGAAGATGTACCAATGAAAAGTGACAATTGTCATAATCGCTATTTTTAAAGTTTTTTGAATTTTTTTGACGAAAATATGTTAAAATAAGTATTAATAACATGTGTAAATATAAATTTAGTGAAGATGTACCAATGAAAAGTGACATTTGTCATAATCGTTAATTTTAAAGTTTTTTGAATTTTTTTGAAGAAAATATGTTAAAATATATATTAAAAACATGTTTAAATAAAAATTTAGTGAAGATGTACCATAGAAAAGTGACAATTGTCATAATCGTTATTTTTAAAGTTTTTTAAATTTTTTTGACGAAAATATGTTAAAATAAGTATTAATAACATGTGTAAATATAAATTTAGTGAAGATGTACCAATGAAAAATGACAATTGTCATAATCGCTATTTTTAAAGTTTTTTGAATTTTTTTGATGAAAATATGTTAAAATAAGTATTAATAACATGTGTAAATATAAATTTAGTGAAGATGTACCAATGAAAAGTGACATTTGTCATAATTGTTATTTTTAAAGTTTTTTGAATTATTTTGAAGATAATATGTTAAAAAAAATATTAAAAACATGTTTAAATAAAAATTTAGTGAAGATGTACCATAGAAAAGTGACAATTGTCATAATCGTTATTTTTAAAGTTTTTTGAATTTTTTTGACGAAAATATGTTAAAATAAGTATTAATAACATGTGTAAATATAAATTTAGTGAAGATGTACCAATGAAAAGTGACAATTGTCATAATCGTTATTTTTAAAGTTTTTTGAATTTTATTGACAAAGATATTTTAAAATAAGTATTGATAACATGTTTAAATAAAAATTTAGTGAAGATGTACTATAGATAAGCGACAATTGTCATAATCGTCATTTTAAAAGTTTTTTGATTTTTTTTGACGAAAATAGTTAACTTGCATCGATATTGGTTTTAAAATAGAAAAAAAAGTTTACCCAAATTTTAAACAGGATTGTCTGGTGAAAATTGGTAAAAAAATCTAACTTAGGATTAGATATTTTGATATAAATTTTGCATATTTATTTCTGACCCGATGAACAAATGTAATAAAATGCCAATGTTTTTGGGGAAGAATCTATTATTACCATATGTTTTTCTATGGCATATACTCAGGCAATTTTAATTTTACAATCTATATTTTTACCCATTTACATCAAAGAAATTTTAAAAATAACGATTATGACAAATGTCACTTTTCTATAGTACATCTTCACTAAATTTTTATTTAAACATGTTATTATTACTCATTTTAACATATTTTCGTCAACAAAAATCAAAAAACTTAAAAAATAATGATTATGACAATTGTCGCTTATCTAGAGTACATCTTCACTAAATTTTTATTTAAACATGTTATATATACTTATTTTAAAATATTTTCGTCAAAAAAATTCAAAATACTTTAAGAATAACGATTATGACAATTGTCACTTTTCATTGGTACATCTTCACTAAATTTATATTTACACATGTTATTAATACTTATTTTAACATATTTTCGTCAAAAAATTCAAAAAACTTTAAAAATAACCATTATGACAATGTCAATTTTCTATGGTACATCTTCAGTAAATTTTATTTAAACATGTCAATACTTATTTTAACATATTTTCTTCAAAAAAATTCAAAAAACTTATAAAATAACGATTATGACAATTGTCACTTTTCTATGGTACATCTTCACTAAATTTTTATTTAAACATGTTTTTAATACTTATTTTAACATATTTTCTTCAAAAAAATTCCAAAAACTTATAAAATAACGATTATGATAATTGTCACTTTTCTATGTAACATCTTCACTAAATTTTTATTTAAACATGTTTTTACTACTTATTTTAACATATTTTCTTCAAAAAAATTCAAAAAACTTTAAAAATAACGATTATGACAAATGTCACTTTTCATTGGTACATCTTCACTAAATTTATATTTACACATGTTATTAATACTTATTTTAACCTATTTTCTTCAAAAAATTCAAAAAACTTATAAAATAACGATGACAAATGTCACTTTTCATTGGTACATCTTCACTAAATTTATATTTACCATGTTATTAATACTTATTTTAACCTATTTTCTTCAAAAAAATTCAAAAAACGTATAAAATAACGATTATGAGAATTGTCACTTTTCTATGACACATCTTCACTAAATTTTTATTTAAACATGTTTTTAATACTTATTTTAACATATTTTCTTCAAAAAATTCAAAAAACTTTAAAAATAACGATTATGACAATTGTCAATTTTCTATGGTACATCTTCACTAAATTTTTATTTAAACATGTTATTAATACTTATTTTAACATATTGTCGTCAAAAAAACTCAAAAAACTTTAAAAATAACGATCATGACAATTATCACTTTTCTTTGGTACATCTTCACTAAATTTATATTTACACATGTTATTAATACTTATTTTAGCCTATTTTCTTCAAAAAAATTCAAAAAACTTATAAAATAATGATTATGACAATTGTCACATTAAAATATTATCCTCAAAAAGATCATATAAAATCATCAAAAAAGTTTCATAAAATTTACTGCATTTAATAAAAAATAGATAATTTTAAAAAAATGATAAAAAAATGATAAAAGATTTCACCTAAAAGATTGTTTATTTATCTAATAAAATTTACAATATAATTCCTCAATAAAAGATGTATTTATAAAGAAGATTGTAAATCACTAATAAATTATATTAAAAAGAATATTACAATTTTACAATATAGCAGCATATTATTTTTTTTATTAAAATAACATCAAATAAATAAATTTATTTTCATTTCAAAATATAATAATATAAATAAAAAATATTAAATCATATCATGTTTATTTGTTGATAATAATAAAATATTTACATTAAATATAAATAAAATAAATTATTTTACTAAAATAAATAAATAATAATTAATACTAAGCATCGATGCAGAATTTTGACTAATTTTATTTTAGCAGATTTATATAGGCTTAACCGATTTTTAGGCTTAACCTAATTAGGCTTAGCCGATTTTTAGTTTTAGCCGATTATTAGGCTTACCTAATTAGGCTTAGCCGATTTTTAGGCTTAGCCTTATTAGGCTTAGGCGTAGTTTTTAGCCGATTACGCAACACTACTCTGAACCCTTCACTTTTTAAAAGGGTCCGGGTTCAGCCAAAATACGAGGGGGATTCTGGTTCACATCCCTGCAATATACAACTGGAAATATATATTTTTTGCAATATATCCCAATTTTTATATAACTTCTTAAATATATCTATTTGATAAGATCTTTGATATAACTATTAAAAAATTTATATATAACTTCCAAAGAAATAATTTCGCCTCAAATTCTCAAAATAAATTTCATCTCTATTTTTTGTTCATTTTAGAAGGCCCCTGCCTATTTTTTTATAGTATTAGCATGCTCCCGCCGCAATTTCTAGGACTACAACACTGATTATTTATAATAAATAACAAATCAAATATTTTTCATATAAAATAGGGACTATATCGAAAATAAAGAAGCAGAAATATCATCCGAATCCACGTGAATCATGTATAAATTTGCTTGTGAATAAGATAATTTTTGTATACATATAATTTATATTTTTAACTAATGCTTAACAAAGATTATAATAGTGTATATATTAGTAGGTGAAAATGATTGTATGAATTCATATTTTGTAAATATACGCGGAAATAAATTAAATTTTTAATATATCTTTTGATCTTAAGGTCATAGGATAACAACCCATGTTTATTAGCCTATGTTCTAGCAAATAACTAAAAGTGCATATCTTTTCAATTTAAAAAAAAGTAAAGTATAGCTAGTGGGTAAAGCAAATTAAATGCGAAATTAAACATATCATTTTCATTTCACAACAAACTATTTTAGATCGAAAAAATTAGATAAAATAAATGTACACAATTTTATTGCCAAGACGTAGCCTTATAGTTAGCTTAATTACCAGAATAAATGAGATATAAAGCCAATATTCACATCTTACATGACCAAAAAATAACCAAACTTTAATTTCGATAAATTTTAAAAAAATCGTTAAATAAAATTTTATTAAATTTCTTTTGTATCATATAAAATTCAAATTAATAATTTAAATTTATTTATATTATTGAACTTAAAAATATAATGCAAATTTTGTTGAAAATAAAAATTATTACAAAATATGGTTTTATTTGCTGCCACATTTGTTTGAATGTGCAAAAAATATTTATGGGAATTAAACGATATCAAAAGAAAATTACATATTCATGATTAAACTTATTATAAAATTAAGAATAATCTTGTCGATATACATTTTACATTATAGATATCAATTATGTAATAAGAGAAAATACAAATTTATATAATATTTTTATTCCGGGTAAAATAGTATAATGGTATTTTGAATTCTGAAACGACCGTTAAAATAGTACTTTTGGGTTGAAATAAAGCTATCTCAGGGTAAAATTTGTAATTATAAGTACATCATTCAGCATATATTCCGTATGTGTATAAAAAAGGGATTATAAAAGATATACATTATAACGTATATAAATTGTACCAAATATATTGGTAAAAATATAAAAATTATTCATAAAGGAAAGTAAAGAAAAATATGTATACACTATTCTATGATAAGAAACCTATAAAATATATAATAGTTGACATACATGCTGGATATATTTAAAAAAATGAAATATTAACTAATATTAGTTTGCAAGATAGAGTTCACAAAATTTATCTAGGGGATCGAATGGTGAAGATAGTTCTAATTTAAAGTTCGGTATGTTCTGGATGTTCGCTAGCAGCTTCGTCTTCATCATCAAATGGTTCTGTCTCTTCGCCTTCTTCTTCTTCGTCCTTCTGTAGTAAAATAAATAAAAAATAGGTCAATAATTTGATGTTTTCCATAAAAAAATATTATATTAGTGCATTTCCTTGACTTCATTAATGAAATTTAAATCCTTATTAAAAATTTGCCCACATCCATTAATTCTTTTCTTTCGATGATTCTTCGATATACCCTGATTTCTAGAAATAATTTAAAAATTGAGTTTTACACTTATTCTGGAGCAAAAGAATATATATTTCAATTGTCCAAGATACAAGAGAAAAATCGAGTATATGATCATACCCCGTCAGAGGCTCCTTCTACACCTCCACTTTCAACAAATTTCTTGAGTCCCTCTAGAGTTCTTTCACCACCGAAATCAATTACCTTTCATTTAAGAAAATCAATATATAGTTCCAAAAATATCATTTGAATCTATATTAAAAGAAAACCGGTAATATATGTAATTCATCAAGTGGCTTCTAACCCTTCCTAGCCACTTACGATTTAACCCCCCCCCCCCTCCTCCAATATTTTTAACATCCCACCCTGTTTACCAATAAAAATAAAAACCTATCAAGGTGTTGTAATTAATTTTTCTTTCCTTCTTCTTTTCCACTCAGTTTCACTCCTTAATCTTAATATATTTTATAAATACATTTTTGTTTATTACAAATTCTAAGTAAATTTACGATCTCATTCATGCTATTTCCGAAAATTTAAATGGCAGATTGTAAAAGAATTTAAATTACAGTTTTCTCAGTCTGTCCATCTTTGAGAGCGAGGTATAATTTGATTGTAGGAAAACTTTTAATAGCCAACCCTTCAATCTCATTAGCCGGCGAGTCTAGTTTTGCGATCACAATATTACTAGAGGGTTTGTCGGCGAAATATTGGCCTAATTCGTCATAAATGGGAACCAATTGCTTACAGTGACCACACCAGGTGGCATCTAACATCGATACATGATTATTTTTAATTATAAATTAGCGAGTAAATATAGTCAGGAAAGAGAGTATATAGAAAAAGAACAAAACAATAACTAAACCAAATGTCACTCAATGGTTATGTTTAAAATATATAAAGAGATAAAGAAAAGTAATAAAATCTAAAAAAAAGTCACTTAATTAGGCTTGATGTAAAGATGGGCATCAGAAAATGAAGGGTAAAAACAAAAGTGAGGAAATAACAAAATACTGTATTTCAATTATTTTTAAAAAAATCGGTTCAAACAAAATTTTATTAAAGTAATTTCGAATACATTATACTTCTTTTAAAATAATTTTTATTTCCTAATTTTAGGAAAATTTGACACTTCTTTAAAAAAATAAATAAAATATTTATTTAAAATAAACTCACAAAATTCAACCAAGACCGTTTTACTTGGGTCGTAAGCCACGTCCCGGAAATTCGAACCTGCCAACACTTTCACGGGGTTTTTATCCCAATCTTCTGGCAAAGTTTCGGTCAATAAATGGGGCTAATTTTAACACGTTAAAATTAAAAAAAAGTCAAATTTTTTCTTAAATTGTAACCGAAATTGGTTTCCTTTTCTTTACCAACGATTAATTAATATCTTATATCTAAAGATTTTCAAAAAAGAATTATATATAGAGGACAATATTTTTAAAAATGGTTCGTGTTCTGGGTAAGGTTGTTATTTTTTTAACATGTATTATTATTCCGTTTAAAGAGAACGCTAAAAATGTAAAATATCACTTAGAAATTAGACAAGTTAAGTAATTTATTACTAATCCATGCGAGTTATGAATTAATTAACTTTTCAACTAAACCTCAATCAACTACTCTGGGTGTTTAATTTTTCTCTCGAGTGTAGAAGCAATCTAATTTACAAAGCATTACATCCTTATTATCTGGGATTTAGACTGTGCCTTTACCTTATTCATTTTTTTACCTTTAGTTTCCCATCCAAAAATGCGGTCACAAATTCGTTTATGCCATTTACGCCCAATATAACAGTTTTATCCTTAGGATCACTGGCGGGGAGGGGTTTGTATTTTTTCATGTCACCGGCCAGATTTATAATCCTTAGAGTTGGTAGTTCTTCCGATTTGATCCCAAAAAATTCCAATATTCTTTCGTTAACATCTACGCTGGAATCAATGTAAACAAATAGTATCTGGGAGATATAAAAAAGTTCAAAAAGAAAATTTCATTAAAAATTGAAAATTCATTTAAATATTCAACAATTTATTTAATACAAGAATAAAATGTTTCAAAAAATTTGGAAATTTATAGCTAAGAAACTATAGACAACTGATTCTAAAATGCAAATTCTTATTTTGTATAAAACCATGGTGTTTATTGGTTATTTCCCCCAAAAATATATGTGTTGAACATATAAATATTTAAAATAAAATGGCCTGATTCTTAGTTTCAATAAGAGATTTTAAAATAAATAAATTTACCCTAGTTTAAAAATATAATTTAATCAGCGTTTATAGAATATCATTATTTATTATAATTGATAAGTGCAAAGCTAACTTTTCCTCTATTGTTCTTAGCCGATTCGTTGAAAATTTTCATATTGTTATCGTGTTGGGGTGCGCTTTTATGTTCGAATAACAAAATGTGTTTTTGATGTTCCTCGGTGAATATTTTGTTGGCGTTCTGTTGTATAAATCACATTCCAATAATTTAACAATAAAATTTTTTAAATTTTAAAATGAAAACTAGAGTTGGGAACCAATAGTAAAAACCCAATATTAACAAAATATTGTGTTGGTATTGGTATTGGGTCTAAAATATTGGTATTGGTTTAAACAATATTTTCTATTTCTTGTATTGGTATTGCTATTGGTTTATATTGGTAACTATTGGTTTATATTGGTATTGGTTTAAATTAAAATTACTAATTAAAAGAATAGAAATAGTGATTATAAAACCCTTAATTTCTAATTTTAAATAAACATGGGGAAAAAATCATGATACCGCTAAGAACCAACTCTCAAAATTTTACTGAATTCAAATTCTTTTTTTAAACTAGGAATTTATTAGGTGATGTGAATATAAAAAAATTTGATTTAATCATGTATTTTTTGTATCAACAATAATAAACGTATTGATTTTGAACCATTTTATTTATCACAAAGAACATAGCTAAATAAGTAAACTAAAAATGTAACATAACTGTCTATTTATACAAAATATAATGCAAAATAATGATATAATTTTAATATAAGAAGAGGAAATAATTTTATGTATTTAAGAAGAATCTTGCATGCGCATCCATTTTTAGGCACAGGCAAGCTTGTATAGTATGCTCATCTAGTGAACAACGTTGGTCTGTTATAACATACCGTCCTTCTGAAAAAGCCCTTTCAGAGCTAGATGAGGGTGGCCGGAATTGCTAGATAATCTCTGGCAATTTTTGATAATACTGGATATCTATTTTTATTTAATTTCCACCAATCTAATGGATTTGTATCATTGGAAATTGTGGTTTCATCTACGAATTTACTTATTTCTAAGTTGTTATTATTATGAGGTTTCACCTGATAAATTTTGTCATAAAAGGATAATTTTTTGTTATTTTGTGCTTCATTTGTAAGTTCCGCTGAATTGTTATTATTTATTTTATAAATATTGTTAAGATATCCAATAAGAGTTTCCATATTATTATGCTTTAATAAATGACTTGATAGTTTCTTGGGTCAATCATTGTTGAAATAATAAAGAGGTGTTTATTATAATTATAGTATTTATTAAGTTTTGTTAAGGCAGCTAAAGAAGCTGTTTTTAAAATAGCATTAGGATTATTATTATAACTCTCCACATGCTCAAAAATACTGGAATATAAAGGAATAATTGTTGAAATTGTTGGAGTATTAGCACATGAGGCCATCTCTGTAGAAAAATTAAATGGTTCCAGAAATTCTCCGTATATTTCTATATTATTCCAGGCTAAGGCACTAATATAATTTTCTTGATTGGTATTTTGTAAATGATTGGTATATGTTGTCAAATAGGGTTTGAGCAATATTGCTCTTTCAAGCATTTGGTATGTTGAATTCCGACGTGTTGGTATATCCAAAATTGGGTGGGGAAATTTTAAGTGTGGATTTTTTTAAGATATATTTTTTCGAGTTTATTAAATTTAGATATAGAAAGTTTAAAAATTTTAAAAATTTTTTTATTTTTTTTAAAGTTGTATTTAAGGGTTCCAATGCAGCCATGACAGCCAAATGCATAATATGGCAAAAGCATTTGCACACATTATCAAAATTATCTTTTTGTTTTAAAATTTTTAGAAATGCTAAATTATTACTTGCATTGTCTATAATGTAATGCAAAAAAAATCAATTTCAAATTTTACTTTTAATACAGAATTAAAAATATTAATAGAATTATGTGCTGATTTAAAAGGAATAAAATTATAAATGATTATTTAATTTAAAATCATTATCAATATAATGAATTGTTATGCCCATAAAGGGTATTTTATTTGGAGAGGACCAAATGTCAATTGTTAAGGAAAATTTAGATGTAATGTTAGAAAGTACAGATTTTAAATTGATAAAAGAACTATGATAATGTTTCATAATTTCTATTTTTAGTGTTTTTCTAGAAACTAATGTTAGTAAAGGGTTACAAATATGCTATTAAATTTTTAAAAGTGATATCCTTAACTATTGAAAAGGCTAAATTATTTTGAATGAAAAAGTTTATAATTAAATTATTTAAATTAGCTTTATTATTTATATTATTAAGTAAAAATGATTTTATTGTCTTAATTTTTTTACTGCCAATATTTATTTGCTCACATTTCTTAAATAATGTTGGGTGGATGGATTTAAGATGTGTCCATAATCCTGAGGTTCCAAAATTGGGAACATTTATTACAAATTGCCTTTTTTTATTATCACAAGTAGTACAAAATTCCCAGATTTTTGCTGAATTTCGTCTTTTATTAGATATTGATAATTCTTCTTGTTCCTTATCGCTATTATTATTAGTACCAACAGCATCTATATTTATTAACTCTATTTGGTCTTCATTTATTATTATTAGTGTTGTTAAACCGCTCGTTTTGAGCCGATTTTTAAAAACGGCTAACTCAATATTTTATTCAGAAAAGTATTACTCAAACCTGAAGATTTTACTCATAATAGGAACAAAGGTCTAGACATATATTAACAAAATCTCGAGGCTTAGGCAATATTTTTCTGGCTAAAATATTGAGTTACCCGTTTTTTAAAATCGGCTCAAAACGAGCCGTTTAACAACACTAATTATTATATCCTAAATAAATAGATAAAATTGATAGATATCATGTAAAAAATTTACTTCCACAATAAAAATAAACTATAATTATAAATAACAGAAATATTGATATCACAGTAGTATTTGGAAGAAATAACAGATGTAATCAGTTTTTGCAATGAAAGTAAAAAAAATACCACGATAAACCCAAATAATTATGTTATTTTTAATATTGGTATTTTATTGGTTAAAATTGTATTTAAACAATATATCAAATAGACAATATATTTAGGTAATTGGTATTGGTTGTAAAAGCAATACCAATATTTAAATATATATTGGTTTATATTGGTATTGGTATTGTAAACCAATATTATATTGGTATTGGTCCCACCCCTAATGAAAACTAATATTTGAACATTAAAAAAAGAAGTTATAAAAATTAGATTGAAATCACTTCGTTCCTTTGCATTTCTCTTTTTAAATTTACTAGCCTTTCAATGATTCTTTCAACTAAAAATTCCTTTAAATGTTAAATTTAATCATGTATGAAAAATAAAACCAATTGAATATAAAATTTATTTGTAGTGAAAAATATCATACTTGTTCAGTAAATTCGGAAACTAAAGGCATACGATTGCTTTTGACGAAAAAGGCTATATCATCATCATCAAATTTGTCGTAATGATGAACAGACCCTTCGTCAAACTGAAATAAAAATAATTATATTATTTGAATGACTTATTTGGAATTAAATTTATTTTTGTGAGCTAAATTTAAAAAAAAAACTCGCATTTTGGTCATAACTCTCATAAAATTGATGATTTAAAAATTGATGATTTAAAAATTGATCATTGATTACACAGCAGTAAAACATTTCCGCATAAAATAATCGGAAAAAAGCTGTTTTAGTTGTTCAATAATTAATATAAAATCAAAATTAATGCTCCAAAAAATATTTTCGAATAATGAATAAATAGTTTTGCGGCAAAGAGAATAAATTACCTTCTTAAATAAAATCAATCCGTTATCATGTTTATTAGTATCCATTTTATAATGTTTAGCTATCGAGGCATCGTGGGTAGCAACAAAGGGAGTATCTTCCAAAATAGCAGCCACTTGTTTGAATTCTGTGAATTGGAAACCCTCAGGGTCCTGTTAGCACATGTGAAAAAAGAATATTTTATATTTCATCTTTATTTACTATAATGCATGTGCACCATTTCAAGCTATATAAATGAATGTCAGCTTTTACATATTAGTTTAATATATAAAATTAGGAGTGTACCGAAAATAAACTATATCAAAATAAAATATATTTAAAAAAAGAAATAAAAATAAGAATTTTTTTTTTAAAAAAAAATGCGAGGTGATGGCTCTATGGATTAATATAGTATTACCTACATATTAGTGTAGTTAAATGGCTCGTTTTAAGCCGATTTTTAAAAACCGCTAACTCAATATTTTAGCCAGAAAAATATTGCCTAAGCCTTGAGATTTCGATAATATATGTAAAGACCTTTGTTCCTTCTATGAGCAAAATCTTCAGGCTTGCGTAATATTTTTCTGGATGAAGTATTGAGCTAGCCGTTTTTAAAAATCAGCTCCAAACGAGCCGTTTAACAACACTACTCAGTGGCCCCTACACTTTCTGAGTGATGGGAGCAGGATACCTCCCACCCTTTCGAAAAAATGGTTAATTATTTTTTTGACACCCATAAATTTCAAAAATAATTTTTATTGCATCAATCTTTAATATATAATATAAATAAAATGTAAAATAATATATACTTTATAAATATTATTTTTTAATGAATAATTTAGACAAATTAGAGGAATAGAAAGCGAAGAATTTATAATTATCAATATTTAATTGTTTAAATAAATTTTTCCCCATTGATAAAATGGTTAAATTATTAAGAAATGGATCTTTCATGGTATTACGAAGGTCTTGTTTTAATTAATTTAATTTTACTCATGACCCTTTCGGCAGTACATGAGGTAGTAGGAATGGTTAATAAATATTTGTATAAAATTGTTAAATTAGGGAAAGCAGAAAAATTTTAAAGTAAACGATAAGGTAGAATAAACGAATAGTTTTTCCAATCTGAATTATATGTCTCAGAATTATCAACATCAGAAGAAGCTAAATAATGTATTAGTAAAAATATTTTAATTTAATAAATTTACAATTCTCAGAATCTTACAAATCTTTAGATTCTTTACTCTGGTCACGTGTAATAATTACACCCCCCCCCCCGTTAGCCATCTTATTATAAGATAAGTATAAACACTAGTGGATATTTAATAAAAAAATTACTTTGATATTCGTCCAATTTTGAGAAATATTCTTAAAAGCTACTATTTCAAAGCTTTTCTTTATATCGTTAAAATTGGGCCCATTATGTCTTTTTCTAATGTAGTCTGTCATTTATCCATCTCTTATATTATGCCATGTGCAATTATTAATTAAGCATTTGTATTTTTTTAATATTTTTGGGCATATTTTAAAATTGGGAAAAAATTTTTATGACAACAAATCTAGGAATACAACCTAATTTGCTAAACATCGACCAAAGTTTATTAAAATGTAATAATAAGACGTCCCACTTATCATTTAATATGTATTAACGGAATCACGAGGTCGAATCCGATATCATAAACCTGAATTTGGTTATGGGTGGGTGTAGTAAAACAATTAAAGAATTTTTTAAAAAAGTACCCCCACTCAAATTTTTAGAAGCAGTTGCTTCGGGCCCCCATTGTTGTAGGGGCCACTGACTACTACATATAACAATTGTAATCCATTGCCATAGGTAAAAATCTCATAGGTACAATTTTTTGCCTAGTATTTTGAAGAAATCCTGGGCCCTAGATCCGAAAACATCGATTGTGTTGAAAACAATGGGAAATAAATATTTATTAATTTCCATTCTAGCCCTAGAATTGGAGATTGCAAAATGGAAGCATTTGTAATCACAGATTAGGGAGATTCCTTTACTACATTGAACTAGTGTCATTCAATCAGGTCTAATATTATATAATTAAGTCTTAAGGGTTCCAACGTAAAATTGGCTGAGCGGAGAGCTCTAGCAAAAATTGAATCTACTGCTTGATGGCAACCTATTGAGAAAAGGCAATAAAGTGGATGATGGCCGCTGTCAATTAGGGTGCAGAGCTTTCTAGATGATGGTGTGATGATGTAAGTCTAAATGAAGGCCTATTCCTATGCACTACGTGTTTGAGATCTCTCAGACTCAGTAAGAATTTTTTTTTTAATTTTTTCGCTTTCTTGAAAACTCATACTTTTCCTAAAGCAATATTTTTTTTCAAAATATTTAGGCGCGGATAAGACCTTACTTTAGGTCTGGCTATTTCTAAAATAAAAGTATGAATGGGATCGGACAAAAAAATTTCGAATAACCATTTTTTCTATCTAAGTTGTGGAGCTTGACTATTTATGTTTCCTTGATTAAGTCTTTTAAGACTAGAAATATGTCATTGTCAATTGTAATATCGAAACGTTAAATAAAAATTAATTTATAATAAATAATGGAAGTGTTAGGTGCTGATTATTTTTTGAATTGATTGAACAAATAAAATTTTACACAAAGAAAAATATTATAATAGTAAAAATTAGTTATTTTTCAACGTTGTACAAGTTTGATATAAGCATTTTAATAATTAAATATATATTAGGAAATTAATATTTAAATTTAACAATCTAAGCATTTTCCAATACCTCAGATTTTAAATAGGTATAATTTATTAGAGAAAGTTTATTAGATTCTTTTATTTTTAAAATTTTTTTTATTTTATTAATATTAATTTATAATATATTTTTAAGTCATATTTTATTTAAGTGTTAAAGAATAAATTATGGGAAATTGTTTTTTTTATTGCAAATAAAGGAGAGAGGAATTATGAAGACAACATAAAAAAGTTTCAATTTAAAGAGTTATAAAACAAATTATATGAAAAAGAGTAAATTATATTCATTTACCTTGAAATATCCAAATACTACTACATCGTGAGAGTCGATGAGGTTCTCTAAATCCTCTAGCTTCTTGATAATCTTGATCTGTGGTCCTATTTTCTTTAGAATCCAGTCTCTCATATCTTCAGCTTTTCTGTTACCTGATGTTTGTTAAATGCTATAGTAGTAGAAATAATTTTACCCCACTCCTCCCACTTTTTACATTCTTTAATAATAACAAAACTCATGCAACCAAAATGTAAAAAAATAATTGAGTTTCACATCATTTGGTAATGTTAGTGTGAAACTCTTTAAATAAAAACTTATATCTTATTTTTTTGTCTCTTTCTCATCAAATAACTTTTCAATTAAATATTTCCTAGATTGTAAAATATTAATCTACTTTTACATTTTTTTCCTCTTTCTAAAATAAAATATAGTTGTATTTTATTACCGTTGTAATTGGACACCTCGCTTTTGTCTTTGCTAATAAATTTGATTGTAGGGTAGCCTTGAACTTTATATTTCTCTGCCAAATTTTTGTTGACAGTAGCGTCACATTTTACGATTTTAATGGTCTTGGCCAAGGCTTGAGGACTTTCCTCTCCCAATTCTGACCCCTGATCCGATCCTTTAGTCAAATCGTTAATAAAGCCCGCAAGTTTGACGTATTCCGGCTCTAGCTGTTTACAATGACCGCACCACGGGGCGTCTAAAATTAGTTGTGTTTTGTTAAATATAAGTTTTGGCATGATGTCTATACTATAAGATCGTAGTTAGATTATAGTGCTACTAATAACTTAACGTTTTCTAATTTTACAAAAGCCGATAAAAATTTATGTTTTCGTGAAGTAATATTTAGTGTAAAAATGAATCAATAAAATGCAGGATTATAAAATCAAAATGAATTAAATTGATTTATATAGAATTTTTTATATGGTGAACTAGTGTTAAAAGGGTTGAATTGAGCTGATTTTTAAAAACGGTCTACTCAATAATTTAGCAAGTAAAAGATTGCTTAAGTCTCGAGATATCACAAATGTCCAAACCTTTGCGCCATAAGTGAGCAAAATCTTCAGGCTTGATATTTTTCTGAATAAAATATTGATTTAGCCGTTTTTAAAAATAGGCTTATATCGAGCCGTTTAGCAACACTATGCTGAAACTTCAAAGAAAAAATATTTTTCTATCAAACCGAACGATAAGAATGATTCAAAAAACCAACCCGCCAAGGTTCGAGGTACAAAGAGAGAAAAATAGCAAGTAAGCCCTCACTAAATTCCATTTCCTGCAAATCTTTTATTTTTATCGAATATTTTAATTTTTCAAAGTTTTATATCGATTCATCCCATCCCCTAATCTCTGTTCTGTGCCTATTTTCGAAATCGCAAAGTTTTTATTAAAAAATTTACAAAATGCAAATGGGTAAAGTAATTGTTGCAAAATTTATCATGATTTAGGTGATAAAAAATGATTTTCAGCATGTAACATCTCTCCAATAAAGGCGATATCTAGGTAAATATGGGGCTATTAACTTAACCCAATTACGCGCGCACTATTCTTTAAAATAACAACTAATCTTTAAATTTGGTTGAAAATCGCGATTATATAGATTTTTGGTAATTCTATCCAGTTATTTTTTGAATAGTTGTATTCAAAGTTTCATTTTTATTACTCTTCAAAAATTGTAAACTCAAAAGCATTCGATATTTGATTTTCGAAAAGCCTCAATTCGATATAATATATTTTCAAAAAAAATTCTTGTAATTTATAATTAATGTATATAAAATTGTGATACATTTTTAAAAATCGAAAGAAAGAAACATGACTATATGTAGGTATAGGAAAGAGAAAAAGAATGATTTTAAAGTTTATTCTTTGCTTGTTAAGACGAGTAAAATATAATGAGGTTATTAGTGCGATGAGGCATTTTATTCAAAGTTATACACGTACAACAAGATGTGTGCGTGAAATTTATATCGCATAATTTTTTATATTTATTTCGTACGTGTCTTGAAAGGAAATTTTTTGCGTATTTTGTTTTACTAGACCGATAAAAACAATCAAATCCGTTAAAAAAAATTCACTGCTCACAAAGGCATTTAAGGACAGTAACCATCATATTCTTCAAAGTTAATAACTTTACCGATGAGGAATTAAAGAGTGTTAATCTCCAAAATAGAGCAAGTATTTTATTATCAATTCACTTTCTAAACTCTTTCCCACGTACTTTTTATAAATTAGTTCAATATTTATGAAAGGAAATTATCCATTGTTTTTAAAATGAGTGAAATGTTTGCTTTATCTTTTTTCGTACATGCATAAAGACATTAATTATTCCTTATAACTTAAAATTAAATTTTATTTTACAAAAAAAATAATTTTCCAATTAAAAGAAAAGAACTAAAAAAATAGGATTTTTTGGTATACTTCATAAGTAGTCGTTTTATTTTCCTTTATTATCATAGTTAATATATTATAAAAAAAAATCATATATTTTACATGTTTTAAATCAAGACAAAATAACCCATTAACTGATTCTGCTAGATTATACTGTAAAGAAAAATTAATTCTAAAATGAGGAGTCAGTCATTCATTGAATTAAAAATCGATGCGCATTAAACAAAAATATATCCTAAAAAAAATCAATGGAAAATACATAATCATCTGATATCACAACTATCCCTTTGTATTACTGTACGTATTTAGCGTTTATTTAAATGGCACAAAATGACGGCGTTTAATACTATAAATTATTTTTCTGTAATTCTATTATCAATCTATCCTAGCTAAATTAGAACTCGCAAATTAAAGGACCATGTTCCACTCATTGGTACAAACTATCCTAAAACTAACATTATATGCTGGCCTTATGAATTCGTTTTCGATGGCAGTAAAAATGCTTCCCCAACCAGAGAGTGGAACCAGGCTATTTTGGGATCTAGCGCGCCAGAAACATCTGGAAGGATCGTTGAACGGAAAACCCTTGTCAAGTAAAGGTCCATTTAAGGAAATAATGAATGATTTACTAAATTCGAATACCAGGAGAGATGGTAATTCAAACGAAGGTGAAGAGGCAAGTGGAATAGAAAACGAATTTTCGAGCAGATATTTAGGATTTACGCCATTCGAAAAAGATATGAGAGAAATTCCGCTGATTGATAATCGATTCAGTACAAGCTTGGAGAATGGTGGTAAGGACAAAGAGATTATTTCTGATACAACGTTAAACTTTGATTCAGGCTACAACGATGATGAAATAATAGACAGGGGAAAAAGTGGGAAAAATGGTTATGATAGTTTGGATTGGTGGCCATTCTACAGTTCCCATTATTTACCGGACCCCTCACTAGTCAGACTAATAGAAGAAAGGTCTAAGGTGTCAGGACTTAAACCCAAATTGAACCTCGTGGGGAGGAATAGGTTAAACGATAAAACATCCTTTTTTGACCCGAAAGACATTGGAATATTCAATGTCATAACGGATAATTCCGAAACTTTCGAAAGCCTAAACCAGAGGAATAAAGAAGGCAAAAGCAGCGATGGACGCAAATGTCCGGAAGGATACGAGTTCACAGGTTACAAACCGGTTACCTATTTCGACGTTAAAAAAAGAATTAGTGTGGTCAAAAGAGAAATTATTTGCCTCAGTCTGTCTCACTTAAACAGCAAAGGTAAAATCAATCGTAATAAGAATCGATTGCTGTTGAATAACATTAATGAAAGTGGTGGGGAGGAATCGTTACTGGACTGGAAGGGAGCTCAAGATCAGTGTAAGGGCAAGTCTGGGGGAACTTTATTAACTATCAGCGACGATTATGACACGGCTCATCTGGCCAAAGTTTTGACAAATATAGGTTGCCAGCGAGGAGAGAAGGGTAGAAGGTGCGGAATATGGCTAGCAGGCTCGAGGGGAAATAAGGTCAAAAGTGTTAGCGGGAGAAGAAACATCAAAGAAAATATAGGGATAGTTAAAAGGCGAGAAGGGAGGAGCATGGATATTTATTCGATACATGAGTCGGAGAACGAATTTGCTAATGATAGCGCTCGATTGAAAAGAAAGGTCTCTTACCAAAAAGATTATGCGTGGCACCCATCAAACTTTCCAATCAGATTTATTAATAATGATAAAAATATCAAAAGATTGTTAAAGACACGAATCGACATGGACAGATGGTTAGTTCCTGATAAAACGGGTGGCTTAATTTCAAAGAAAAATTTATTAATTGATAGAGCTTTAGGCTTTAGCAAATCAATGCGAGCAATAGACCCCGATAAAGAGGATTATGATTTTGATTCGGATTTCGACAGGCAAGAAGAACATGATTCATATGAGGATGGTTTAAAAAAATATAAAAATCGGGGCCATCACCATAACCAAGGGCCTTTGGAACATTACAACCCAGCCCGAAAACCCATTCAGGACGTCAAAAAAATATCCAGCGATAATAAACAAAACAGCAATACACATAAACAACCAGATAAGTGTTTATATTCAGAAGGGGCCAAGGGTAAAGTTAAATTCGCTTATAAAAAATGTGGCGACAAAAATAATTATGTGTGCGAGGTTAGGTATTCCAACGATAATAATGATGACGGAGAAGTTTATCCAAGTTACAACGTGAGAAATGATGGAGAAGATGATGACAGACATAAATACAATCCCCCGCCCAAAATGTACCACCCTGACTGGGCTAAACATGACCACTCCTGGGATGGAGAAGATGATTCAGAAAAGTATAATCTTGACCCATATCGAGCATCGCATCCTCATAAAACGACGGATAAAGAAGTGGTAACAACGACTAAGGCTTATAGAGAACCATCCAATGATCACAATTATAGGCCACCTCCATATCTACCCCCAGTATCTTATAATAATAATAATGATGGTAAGGGTTCAGTGATGGGATCTGTTAATTTCAAACAATACGTGGGAACTTACATCCCAGATAATAGTTATGATAATAAGGAAACACATGATATGCAACCTGTCAGACCACGCTTAGAACCGAAATCTTCGTTTCGAATGAGCAACCCCAACCATATAGTGGAAAGCTCCGATTTCGTTTATGATGAAATAGGCATGAACATGGTAAATTATGCGTCTAAATCGAGCATTAAAAAATATCAAAATGAATTTAAAAATGTAACCGAAAAGCGTAAACCTAGCAACTATAATCCATACCAGAGGGGCATTGCACTAAGCCCTAAAATGAATTCTTACAATGACAATGGTAGGATTTACGATTCGGTCTCAAATATAGGTCTAGAAGCAATAGCTAACAGATATGTTGCGTCTATATCTCCAAAAAATTATAAAAATAAGATATACAATACCGACTATGAAGATATTAATCGCAAAAATGAGTTAAACACGGTTAACATGTATAATGCGTATAATGAACCAGTGCTTAAACCACGGATACCTTTTAATAAGAAAGAAGGTCTAGCAGCAATCACTAATAGATATGCTGCGTCTATATCCCCGAAAAATTATAAAAATACAATATACAATGAAGATATTAATCGCAAAAATCAATTAAACATAGACATATATAATAGGTATAATGAACCAGCACTTAAACCAAGGATATCGTTTAATAAGGTAGATGTATACAAAGTCGAGTCTATTAAACCGGTTGTAAAATATATGCACAAAAAAATAGGACCTCCATTTTTACCTTGGAAGAGTTTGAGCACCACTAAATA